AAACAGACCAGTAGTAAAGAACCATCAAATTTCGCAATTAGAGAGCATTAGTATCTGGAGGAGAGCAGTTTCAGTTAAGGAATGAGATTGGAAACCAAATTATAAGGTGAGCATGAGATGAATTGGTGGCAAGGGACTTAGATAGTTTCCCTTCCTCCCTTCTTCCCTTCCTTCTTTTCTTTGTCTGATAAAGGAATACAGATATGGGGCAGTATCTTGAAGGGATAATAGGCTCTTGTGAGGCTTTTCAGGCTTTGGGACACTTAGGCGCCTTTGTAGGCACCAGTAAAAAGGATATTGAAGATTAGAGAGAAAAGATGTTAGTCTGATGAAGATGGAAGGAAAAGAATCAAGGATAAATCTCAGAAGAAACTGGTCTTGTTGACTAGAACAATGACCTCTTCATTAAAGACTGGTTTGTTAAGGAAGAGAGAATGATGGATGAAGTCAAGAAGTTTTGTGGTAGAGGATTTATTAGGGGTTTTTTGGTCATCATTTTGCTTGTAGAATTAAATTTAAGATTTTTTTCCCCCCACCAGTATGGCAATTGATTACAGAATGTAACATACTTTTAAAAATATATATATATAATGATGAAAATATTGGCCTTTAAAGGTGGGTGATATTTGAGAAGAGATTAGTAATGAGGCATTTTTTCTGCATTTTGGTTTTAAAGAGATCTAAAATGAAAGTTTATCTAACAAACTCTTGTTAATTTTTCTGAAGGCTTTTAATTAGTATGAAGGTGATAGGTTATAACTGTCTTGTATTTTATTGATAAGTAGAAACTTTAGATACTGAATGGTAGTAATGTAGCAACTTTGATTCCTGAAGAATGCTAGTCATAATTTCTCTGTTATGGGAACATATCTTACTATTAAAATAAACACAAGATTTTAAAAATTTGAATACTTTGGACCATTTCCATCTAATTGTTTTCAAGTGAGAAATTTGTACTCGTTTACTTGGTTTTACTTCATAACTTGAAACCTATACACAAAGTTATTTTATCTATTGTATAACCTAAACAAAATGCCCTGAATGGTTAATTAAATTTCTCAATCCCAGTTTGTAGAATTGAACAAACTTGACTTTTTTTTTCAGATAATAATCAATAGAATAAAACAAAATTGTACTTTGGTATAGAGCAACTCTTTATTTGTCTTTGATCAATTTAGCCTGTCCATAGCCTGGTCTTAGTATAAAAGGAAAGAAGTATATTGTTAATTTGTCACAATTGCATGTTAGAATTTTCATTTCAAATACTTTTTTAATTTGCCAGAATATTTAAGTAAACAGTTAATAATAAACAAAGATGCTCTGTTTAAATGAAAGATATGGAGCAGAAATAGATATTTTAAGAATCTAAATCTTTTATAAAATTATTACTATTAGCTTAGTCTAGAAATTCTTTAGCTATAATAGTCTTTGCTAGACTATTATATACAATTGAGAATTCTTTGTTTTGGAACAAATTCGCCCTCTAGTGGATAAGTTAAATTGTCATGTTATGCTTTATTTCTTGATTACTCACAGTTAAATTTCATTACTCTGTAATTTATTATTTAAGAACAAAACACCTAAAATATTTATAATTTATTGCAAAATCCACATGAGTCCATGTAAATATACAGATAAATATAGTTGCTAAAATGTTAACCCTAAGAGTTTTGAATCAGACCATTGACGGATTGTAGTCTAGTTGGATAGATAATTGCCAATATATGAATAGAGGCAAAATCTGGAAACTCTTTAAGGCATTTCTCATTTTTATGCATAATTTTTAAAATTATTTTTTTTTGGTTAGATATTCATTGCCACTAAGATCTTTGTACCGTTGGAGACCATTTTATTTTGTGATTTGTGCATCTTCCTGAGAATTTAATCTGAGAAAAAGGGCAGTCTAACATTGTGTGCGATCTTTCAAGTTGTAAGTCCACTAAGAATTCAGAAAGTATGTATTGTAAGTAAATTTGATGATTCACGTAATATTATTCAGACTAACATTAGGCATTTAGGAAACGTATTCAGCATAACCTGTTTTCTAGCAGCGATCCAGAAGGTATATTTGGGGACTCTGTGTGTGTGTGTGTGTGTGTGTGTGTGTGTGTGTGTGTGTCTCTCCTCTTTGTGCATTCATGACACGTTACACATACAGACTTTATGAGGCCTAAATGATAGTTCAGGTGAACTCTGTCTTCAGACCCAGAAAATCTCAGTAGTAGTATTGCCTAGTTGAAGCTATGGAGGCTGCTGTGTAAATAGCTGGTCAGCTGTGAATCATTTTGCTTAAGGTTAATAAGCCTTAGGCATATTAGGCTGTATGTCATCTGGTTCTCTTCCCATTCAGAAGTTGTAACTGGTTATGAAACCAAAGTGTCCAATATGTGTATACTTTTTTTTTTTTGCTTTTTTTGGTGAGGTGGTTGGGGGTTAAGTGCCTTGCCCAGGGTCACACAGCTAGTAAATATCAAGTGTCTGAGGGCAGATTTGAACTCAGGTCCACTGCACCACCTAGCTGCCCCTGTCAGTACTTTTACATGTTAAGTGTATGGCACTTGACAATTTTGGTTGAAATTAGTATGGATATTTGCATGTGGGAAGAGTATCCTGTATCTTTTATTTGAATAGCTGTTTCTCCACATCTTTTTCTCTATCATTTGGAAAAAAATACACATACACAGAGGAACATAATTCCTTTTTTTTCCTTTTAAGACCTTTTTTTGAAGTTATTTGAACTCATTATATCAGTCAGCCTATAAAGTGATTATGTATGTATGTATGTGTGTGTGTGTGCATATATATACACACATACATACATATGCACACCCCCTCCCACATATATTCTCTCTTATACAAAGGAAATAATAAAAACAAAGAGGGTATACTTGTTCAAAGTTATAGAATATTTAGTAATTTAGGAATTGAATCAAGAGTTCCTAATTATACTCTTGCCTTTAATAATTTATAACCTTCTAAAAATACTATCACTTTAAAATTTAGATTAGACTGTTCTAAATAGCAGGACCTTTTGAAGCAGAGACTGTGCCAGAAATGTGAGGGAGTGACTTGAGGACAGCATAAAGCTACTATTTATATAACTCTCTAAGGTTTGCAAAGGGCCTTACAATTATCTCATTTGATTCTCATGACAACACTGGGAAGTAGGTTCTATTATTGTCTTCATTATACAGATGAAGAAACTGAGCCTAAAAGTAGCTCAGTGACTTACCCAGGGTCACATAGCTAGTAAGTGTTTGAAACTGGATTTGAACTCAGGTCTTCCAGACTCCAAGCCCAGTGCTCTGTGCACTATGGTGCCACTTAGTTGCCTTATATCAAAGCTTGCAGAAACATGATTTACCTAGAAGTAAAGAAGCAGCCATGGAGTTAGCTTTTGTATTTACAGAGTTTATTGCAGTACTATAAGTGTTTTTTTTTTAATGTTAGTAGTATATCATTATTAATATAGAAGTAGACATAGCTGGTCAGGTAGATCATAGATATAGAGCTAGGCAGAATTTTAGAAATATCATTAGGCTCCAACCCCTAATTTTGCCTAAGACCACAAAGATAGTAAATAACAGAGCTGGATAGTAACCAGCAAAGTAAAAATATATGTCAGTTTGTACTAATGTCTCTTAGAGATGTATAGAAAATTATTTTATGCATACACACACATACTAATTCACAAGGTTATTTTAGTCAGATTCTACATTGTCAAACCTAGATTGTTACCACAGAATTTTTTTTAGACTTTGTTCTTGAATTTTGCCTAGCGTAGTGCCTGGATAGAACATAGGAGGGACTTCATAGATGCTTGTTGAATGAATGAATCCAATAATTCTGTCGAATAACTTTAAAAAGTGTTTAATTTGTATTTTCTCTGATTTTGTTAAAAATTTAAAATGTAGACTGAGGAACATATTTCAGTTTAAAAGTGAATGTCTAGTTTTATAAACTTTTTAAAAAGAATACCTTCATTAAACAAATATTTATTGAGCTTCTGTTGTTAAAATATTTTTATGTCAGTTTTGAACAAGAAGCTTTTTCAAAATTTTTCTTCAAGTAATATTATAATTTAATACTCTAGCCTTAATATAGTTTTAAGTCCCATGGCTATTTCAGTAAAATATCTTGCAAATTATTTGATACCTATACCTATACCTCAAAACCAAATTTAAAGGGATTAAATAATTTGCAAGGTATTTTGTTGGTGTATATTCCCTTTTATCACAGTGATTCACCTTTCTTTCTCTTCACCTCTCTCCTTCCATTCCCATTTTGAACCTTCCATCTGATCAAAGAAAAACAGTTAAGCAAAGCATATGTGATAGTGTACACAATATTCTGCCCTTGCTGTCACTGCCATGAAGGATGAACTTTATATTTCCTTATCTCTTTTCTGAGTTTCATAAACAATACTATCTAAAAGTGGAATGGGCAGCTGAAGGAGGTGGAGGGCTCCTGCCCACTACTAGGGATTTTTATTAGATGACCCCCTTGACCAATAAATTGTAGAGTTCAGGCATGGTTTAGATTAGATGGTCTTTGGGTTCCCTTCCAACCCTGAGATTCTGTAATTCTGTGTACTGAGAAGCTTGACTAGGAATCTGTACATGCATATATTCTCCGTTGCTTATATGTTGCATACTAATTGCAATTAAAAGTCTTTTATAACATTGTATAGCATAATTTCAAATAGGAAAAAAAAGCCCTTTCTTGGGTAATTTGATACATTATGGACATAATGTTTTCTCTCCACAGATCAAGTTAAATTCATATTTTACTAAAGAAGTGTGTCTCATTACCTGATATCATTTATCAGTTTTATCATCTCTTTCTATGTATTTATAGCTCTGAATTTCCTCTGGGTGAGAAATCTTTAGACCCTATTGGGAGCAGGTACTATGAAGAGTAGGAGACTCTTCAGAATAAATTATGAAAGTTCATTTTTGCAAGTGATATTTTATCCATATTAATAAATTTTCTTTTAATAGGATTCTAAACTCCCTTCTTCAGTTCGGAACACACTTCTGGAGCTTTTTGGTCAAATAGAAAGAGAGTTTGAAAATCTTTATATTGAAAATTTGGAATGTAAGTATTTTATTTTTATGTAACTTTTATGTGCATTTCATTTGTCCTCAGAACTGAAAAAATAGTCTACTTGACTGTTGAAAATATTGTAGGGATGACTGGTGTGAAACAAAGCATACTTTTAATTTTTCTTTAAAACTTAAAAAAATTTTTTTGATATATTTTATTTTGACACAACAGACACTTTTCCAAACACCTGAACAAAAAACCACTTACAAAGAAAGTTTTCAGAAAAAAGTTTGTGGTTAAACTGAAAGGAAGGTTTTGTTTTTTAACTCTGCCAATATTAACTTTGTATTTGACCAGTCTTTTAGTTCCCTATCCATGTTTTGTTATCATTGTGAATATTGTTACAGACTTTCTACTTTCTTCCCTTTGCATTACTTCATACAAGTCTTCCTGCACGTTTCTTAGAATAATTCATAGTCATCATTCCCTATGGCACAGAAATTCAGTCCAATAAGCGTTTATTAAATGTGTGCTATATACCAGTCACTGTGCTGGAAGATAACTGAAAGTGGCATGTACACGGCCTTGAGTGTTCTGTATCTTTTGTACTTGAGCTTTTTACTACTCCCTACATTTTAACATCAGCAGATGTTATTGGTCTTTACATGGCAGTAGTATAGGCATAAAGAGTTTTGGAAGCATAAGGAGTTGAGGATCCCATACATGCTTTCCAGACAGTGTGTGCAATGGTGGGGATAGTACTGGACTGTTTGAAGAAGACTTGCTGCTGCCTCCAAGTGACCTTTCTGTAGGCAAGTCATTTCCTTCTCTCTGCTGCTTCAGTTTCTTCATTTGTAAAATAGGGGTAATAATTCTTGTGGTACCAGCCTTTTAGGGTTGGTATAAGGTTTGCATAGAAAGTACTTTGCTATGCTTAAAGACTGATATAAATGTCAGTTTTCATCATTTGTGAAAATATAGGATGACAATATTACTATGAACTCAGTATTGCTTCTTTTAAAGAATTTATATTTTATGAATCTTAACAGTATCGATATACTTGAAAAATATTTACATATATACCTAATACATATGTATTAGGTATATATTTAACTTATAAAAAGTATAAAGGAGCTTATGTGGAATCATTTGTTCAAATGGCTGTACTGTTTTGCACCTTTCAGATTGGAAGTGTGTTTGAAGCTGTGAACATTTCAGCTTTAGATCTGCTTTCATATCTTGTTCTGGTTTTTAGATTTCAGTGCAAAGAATAATAAAGTAATAAACTTTCATAAATAACTTGTAGCAAAAAACATGTAGGTACTTCATAGCCTTGATTGGACAGTTTGGGGTGCTTAGAATTAAAATCAGAAGTTATCTGTGCTCTTTGGTATAAAGACTTTTACTCAAATTACTTTTCCCATTGAGCTTTATGAATCATCAGTAACACACCACCACTGACAACAAAGTCCATTATTCACTTTTTACATTTTGTGGGAGTTAGATAAAGAGTAATTAAAGCATTGGTGCACGTATGGATTTTGAATCAGTCATCTAGCATTTACTAAGTGCCTTCTAGTTGCCAGGCACTGTGCTGAGTGCCGAGGATACAAAGAAAGGCAAAAGATAGTTCCTGTTCTCAAGGAGCTTATAATCTAAATTTTCCGACCATTTGAAACAACTCCATAACTCCCCAGTGGTCCTCATCCTTCCTGATGGTAACTAATGCCCAATAACCAGCCCTTTATTGACCTTTATGAAACCAGTGACAGTCTTTTGCAATCTCTTCTCTTGTGATACTTTCCAGTACCATACTGTTATTTAAAGACTTGTTAAAAGACAGCTCTGTGTAGTTAAATATCTTTTTATCTTTATATGTTTTACCTTTCTGATTAGATTGTAAACTGCTTGAAGATAGGGACTGTTTTACATTTCTTTGTGTCCCTCATTGCTTCTACTTATTGTCTTACACATGGTAGGCAGTTTATATATATTTTGTTACCTGTGGCTTTTTTATATGAATCTTGAGATTTTTTTGTGTGTGTATTGTTAGGAAAACTGTCTTATTTATAGTCCTTTATTATAATCTTTATATTCCTTTATTATCACTGCAGAATGAAGTTTTTAAAAATTATTTTTCTTGGTTCAAGGTGGAGCTTGTAATTTTTTATATTCATGATAATTGACTTTGTATGGTCAATTAATTTAGAACTTTAATTTGTTTTGTCATGGTAGAATATGGTCATATTTTTTTAAAACAGCAGGAAAATATTGATTTTTATTCATTCAAATGCTTGAGTTTTGAAATTAAAATTTCATGAAATGTGTGTATATTCTTAGTTTGCCTCTTTGAAATTCTTAGTGCGGAGAGAAATTGATACCCTTAATGAGCGTCTTGCTGCTGAAGGACAAACAATTGATGGGACAGAACTGAGTAAGGGTCAGCTGAAAACAAAAGGTGAGGTTAAATGTTCATAAAAAGTACTAATTTAAAACTTGTTTCCTTTTTCTTATACAAATTACACATTGAGCTAGACTTAGAATTTAATAATAGAAATGGATTCATTTGTACTATTGCAGTACAATAGTCTTCAAATATCCAGTTCAGTTTAATGGGAAACATTTAATGGGAAGAGCACTAGACTGGGAGTAATGAAGCCTGGATTCCAGTCCTAATTCTGTAGCTGTGTGGTTGCGGGCGCATCACTTATCTTCTTTGGAGCTCAGTTTCGTTACATGTAAAATGAAAGAGTTGAATTAGATGATATTTAAAGTCACTTACATCACTAAAATTCTCTAAGTTTATATTTCTCTTTCGGTGTCATTTTTTTTTTATCTCAACAGCCAGTCATAGTACCAGTCAGCTTTCTCAGAAATTAAAGACCACTTACAAAGCTTCTACTAGCAAGGTATGCAAGACACCACTGTACTCCATATCAGTATTTGCTCTTGAATGCAATATTTAAAATATGTATGTTGTTTTTATTTTGTATACTTTTCCAACCATCAAGAATAATGAAGTCATCTCACTTGAACCCTTAACATCACATTCTTTAATGGGCCTGCAGTGGAGCTACAAACAGCACCAAGGAAAACAAAGATGGGAGAAATGGCCAGATCAAACAAAGTATATAAAGAGAAATTTCATGCTGTAGTCAGCACAATTGTGAGGGTGTTGAAGAACCGATACACAGAGTATCTGAAGCTTATTGTCTTGCACAGAGAAAGCAGTCAGTAAATGTTTTTGAAAATACCAGAGGCACAGACAGCCATTAGTATCCTTGCATTGTCAGGAGAAAACAAGGAAAAGACTCGCACACGTTAGAAGTGACACCATCACTCTTCTACTCCACCTCAATTGTGGTGAACTTAGTAGGAGGCCATGGACAAAAGTTGCACAAGTTAGGAATGCATGGATGGATAGTACTTTACATTTTTGAAAGGAACAACCAACCATATTGATGAGATCACATTTGAATATTTGAGAATATTGTGAATAGACAATATTAAATGAAAAATGATTTAGTTATTTTTCTAAGGAAACTTTTAAAGGTAATGATAAATATTTATTACATGTAGATATTTACAAAATAAGTCTTTAATACAGTAATGCTTTATAAAATAGAAAAATTCATATTTTTGAATGAATCAGGTCTCAATGTTTAATGTTAATTAGCTTCATTAAAAGCTCAAGTGAAAGTGGAAAGAAAAGTGGAAGTATTATTGATTTCTAAATCAATAATTTGTGTGTCTATACACACAGATACATATGTGTGTATAAAGATGTATATACACACCCATCTGGTTATGTGTGTCCCCAGAAGCTAGAGAACTTTATATGTAGAATTGTACTTCTGTTGCTGTGTGTTAGCATCTTTATTCACTCCTTTAAGAATGTGAAGGAGGCTGAGATGTGCATTAGAGTTGAACTGATGCTGCTGGTACAGTTTAAAGTGGTCTTTTCTCCCTTACAACACCAGAGATAGTGGTGTGGATTTGAATTTTTGAGAGAGAAGTGTCACCCTTCTGTCAAAAGTGTATGCTTGTTTGTTAAACCATAATTTATCTCTAGCATAGTAATGTTTTGAGTCCCATGTTAATGTTTTATTGTGCTAGTTGCTATATAGAACATAGAGAAAACAAAGACCCTGAATTTCACAAATTTGAGTGTCTTTTCCTCAACTAAAGCAGGGAGGGGGGAAGCAAAGCTAAACATTGTAGTGACTTTCTTCTAATATTGTGGAATTGTTAAATACATTTTTAAAAGCATCTTTTCCCTTGGCTTAAAAAAAAGCACATAGCTTGAAGACCATAGCCAAGTAAATTAAATAAAGTGTAAAGGATAACTTTTAGTATTCCTTTTATTTTAGGTTATTTTAAAAATCCAAATATGTGTTAGAATTTTGTATAGCTTGCTTTCTAAATTTCCCAAAAAAGTAATTAAATTACTTCTGGCCATCTGGGTTTTTAAAATGGAAATTAATTAATAGAGTATGGCATTTCACCTATATTTGATTGTTTTGAAACTGATACTAAAGTATGGTAATTCAAACTGTGGAGATCATACTGTTTTCTATATATGTTTTGTTTTCCTGTTATTACCTAATCTGGCAAGTTATTTTAGTTGTAGGTATTAGCAATCTAGATTAAGAATGTATGTATGTTATGAAATATGGAGAGGAAATGCTACATAATGGATAGAGAAATGGCCTTAGGGTCTGCAAGGTCTGTGTTCAAGTTTTATCTGTGACACATATTGTCAGTGTGTCTCTGGGGGTGTCACTTGAGTAGTTCTTGAGACCACAAGTTGCAGAGAAGCTATTGATGTGCATTGGTAGAGGGGAGTTGTTTACCCAGAGCTCACCATACCAGTGAAATTGCAGGACCAATTTAAAGTAAATAAGAAATATACCTTTTTTGGCTTCCATAATTTTCAGCTGTTTCTGTTCTTTTTTGAAATGGAGAAAGAGAAGACTTCCCCCCCCCCATTTCCTTATATCTTAAAATAATGAAGAAACTGCTCAGGCAGCAAGCAATGAGCCAGAATAGTTTTGTTTAATAAAGATGCTTGCCTTTTTTATAAAACGTCCTCCTCTCTCACCTCCAGTTTCTAAACTTTTAAATATATGGAATCCTGCTAAAACCCTAAGCAACAGTATATTATTCCTGTTCTCTTAGGCACCTTACAATATTTGGGTACTCAAGTTAATAATGAAAAATACTAGAAATGAAGTGACAGGAGAAATAGTTTAGTAGCTTATATGTATCCTGACTAGTATTCTAGAATGGATTCTTGGTATAAAAGTTAAGCATGCATCATAGGAACAACTACAATTTAGATTCGTTTACAGAGATTTCTTCTTCTGATCCACAATCTTTTAGGCAAACAGTATTTTTGATGAGGTAGTGGGAGAAATGAAAAGTTATATGAAAAGGAACCATAGCACCTTTCCCCTGAATCACTTTTAATAAATTTCTTAAGGTTTGGTAAGAGGTTGGTAAAGACAGTGAATTTGAAAATGAACACTTTAATCAAACTCATGGCATATTCACAGAATAATATTGTTATAAAGATAAATCACTTTTTGAATAAGAAAAAAGGGCTGTTTTTGTTTTTAGTTTCAGAAAATGCTGTAGCTAAGAAATAGTGACTTCTACATATCAAAGCATAGAGCCATTTCCTATGTTCCTTAATGTTCTTTATTAATAAATTGTTTTAATGGCATTCTCTTTTGCATCCAATGATTTTTCCAAAAAACAGTTTTGCTTAGTAAATCTTTAAGCCAGTGTTAAGTAGTATCAATTATTTCTTTTCCACTAAGTTTTTTTATTGATCTCTTTTATTTTTATATAATCTATATTCCCCAATGTATCCTTTGTCTCACTCCATCCCTTGCAGCCGTCTTTTTTATTTAAATATATTTTTTTAAGGCAATTGGGGTGAAGTGACTTGCCCAGGGTCACACAGTAAGTGTTTGATCTGGGGCCGGATTTGAACTCAGGTCCTCCTGACTTCAGGGCCAGTGCGCTATCCACTGCGCCACTTAGCTGCCTTCCCCCACCCCATCTTTTTTAAACAAAGGGGGAAAAAAAGCAGTTCAGCAAAACTAACATGTTGAAAAATCTGACGTATTTAGTGTTCCTCATCCGTGGTCCTATATCTCTTAAAATAAGGAAGGGGAAGTACCTTCTTAGGTCTCTTTTTCAGAGCCAGAGTTGATCATTTTAATTTTAATCATTCAATTTTAATTGTTTTGTTATTGTTCATTTTTCTTAAATTATTGTAGTTGTTAGCATATATTGTTTTTCTGGTTCTGCTTACTTCATTTTGCATCAGTTTATATGATTTTACTTCTTTCTCTTTGTTGTATTCATAATTTTTTGTAACATAGTAATTTTCCATTAGATTCATGTACCATAATGCCAATTTCTTTAAAAAAGTAGTTTTAGAATCTGTTACTGACATTTTGTTGTTTCAGGACAGCGGTTCCAGGATCACAGAATCGTGGATCTCGAGCTGGAAGGGACTTTATATCTGTGATTATGGAACTGCTTTCTTAAAATTATGTGATGGTTGGTAGTCCTTAACGTGTGTTAGGTTTAAATAGATTTTAAAAGACTTCTTAAATTTACTTTTTGTTTTCTATAGTTAAAGATTTTAAAAGTAAAACTCTGGGCTGTAACTAGGCCTTTTAGTCAATGGAACTTAAAATTTTAATTAGAGCAAGACATCACAATCTTTTGTCTGTTGTTATTTATGTGCTTTTTGAATACTGTAACAAGCCTCTAAATCTCGTAAGTGTTTTATGGCTTGATATGATTTAAATTTATGGGGAAATAAATATCCTAATGTATTTTTCTTTTGCTATAATTTTCCCTTACAGCAACAACTAGAGAAAAAAAAGCTAAAGAGAGTAAAATCCATGGCAGATACTTTATTAGTAATGTTGGTACAAAGCAGGAAGATTGTTTTGCTTTCAAGTAATTTCAGATTCTTGGTTTGAATGTGTTCTTTAGTCAAATTACTTTAATGCCTAAAATATTCTCTTTGCAGTTGGAAAAAATTGAGAGAGACTTTTAAAAAAATTCCTCTTCTGGTAGTTTACTTAAAAAATTATTGATTGCAGTCAAATGGAATGATATAAATATTATTTTTATTGTTTTAGATTGTTTCCAGTTTTAAGACTACAACATCAAGGGCAATTTGCCAACTAGTGAAGGAATATGTTGGCCACAGGGATGGAATCTGGGATGTGAGTGTTACAAGGACACAGCCGGTGGTGTTGGGGACTGCTTCTGCCGGTAAACTTTGAAAGATTTAAAAACAAAAAACAATTATTCACCTACAGTTTTTGGAAACTAAGTAGTGATAGCTGACATATTACTGACATGATGCTAACTGAAATAAAACGGTCCAGTTGAAATATTTATTAATCATAAAACATAAAAATGATTTAGGATTGAAGTTTGAGTATATCACATTGTAAGCCTCAGTGAATGAAGCTGTAGAACTAAAGTCAGGATGGCATTGTCTAGCTTTTTGGTACTTTTGTTTTTAAAATTTTTTTGTCACAACTTCTAATTGTTTAAAATATTTTGATAAAGTATTTTATTTTTCCTCAAGTGCTGAAGCTTTTAAGTAAAAAGGGTGGTTTTCAAATGTAACTCTTCTGGGCAGCTAGGTGCCACAGCGGATAGAGCACCAGCCCTGAAGTCAGGAGGACCTGAGTTCAAATCTTGGCCTCAGACCAAACACATGACACACTTACTAGCTGTGTGACTCTAGGCAAGTCACTTAACCCCAATTGCCTAAAAAAAAAATCAAACAAAAAAAATCAAATGTAACTCTTCTAAACGGAAACTATTTTACATAATTACATTCTCTTTACCTATCACTATATTTACCTCTGGAGTGAATCTAAGCTTTTTTGAGCAGCTGTTTGCCCTCCTTCTTTAATCTACCCTTTTGGGAAATACTTCTCTTATTTTTTCACCCCTTGCTGTTGTTATTTATGGTTAAATCATTCTGGTTGTAGGAGCATATTCAGCCTTTAGTTTCTCAGTGGAATTCTATTAATGGAATTTTCTTTGTTATTTTTAATAAGTATACTCTAAGATGCCAAGAGGGGCATTAAAGTTTGAAGAGGTTCCTGGAAAATAACTCAATAACAGTAGTTATTGTTGTCACCTTACTATTCAACAAAGCACAACGTTTTATTATAGATCACCATGGGTCTATGAAATAATGTATTATTTTAAGGTCCCTTTTTTTAATTAACAAATTTAAATTTAAGGGGGGTATCCCATTATTAAAATTGTTTACCAAACTTTTTTTCTCTTATTAAGACACATTTCATTTTATTTATTTATTTTGGCTAGGCAGTGGGGTTAAGTGACTTGCCTAGGGTCACACATCTATTAAGTGTTATGTGTCTGACGCTGGATTTGAATTTAGGTCCTTCTGAATCCAGGGCCGGTGCTTTATCCACTGTGCTTTATCCACCTAGCTGCCCCCCAAACTTGTTGAATGATTGCTCATTCAACTCTGGTTTCCAAGGTGGAAATATCAAAAGAAAGCCACATTTAATTAGAACAAAGAGGAGACAGTTTTAGATAATTTTTTTTTCCTATCCGTAAGGGAATTCCCTCCCAAAAATGAGTCATTGCTGAAGTTTTCCTTGGAACTCCACAATACTCAATTTGATTGTTAGTACTTTAGAGATCACCCAGTCAGCCATCTCATTTTACAAATCAAGAAAATGAGGCCCCAAGAAGTTTAAGTGACTTGCTAAAAGGTCAGATTGAAATAAGAGATAGTTTGATGAGACAGAGTTGGACTGAAATTGAATAGTGGAATGGAGTACTTTTTTTTCCTGATTGCTGAAAATAGGAGAATCAGTCATCTGTATTGGTTGGTTTGATATCCTAAACCATTCTCTTATTTGTAGATAGACTCCTTACAGGTTAACTCTAAGGCCTTCCTATATAACCGAGCTTCTAGTGTACTTAAGTGTTAATATTGATTTTCTAATCAGCTTTACTTGTGAGTTGTATACCATCTAGCTGTTGAGAGCCTATTTTTTTTTATTGCCTTATAAAATTTGGGTGATGGTAAGTAAGTTTTTTGTAACTCTTTGTAATTTTCAGACAGATTTATCAGGGACAATAATATTTTCAAATCCATATTGATATTATCACCAGCTTTACTTAGTTAATTGTTTTATTTACATAAATGTGATTTTTGATCATTGTAGTCCAGGAACTAGCATTTAAACCAAAACAAAATCTTCTTTGCCTCAGGAAGGTCTAAGTTAGAATATTTCAGAAAATCTCTGATTTGGAAGAAACAATGAGGCCATCAAGTCCAAACCAACCAGTCGTCTCCACAATGTATTTTAGAGATAGTCTAGCCTTTGCTTGAAGACTTTCATGAAGGGTAGCTGACTATTTCATAGGTCAGTTCCACTTTGGGTAGGAATATTTTTAGGCATTGATAGTAAATTTTTTCTTAAATAAGTATAAATTCAAAAGAGGCTTGCTGTGTTCAGCAGTGATGCTTTTTATAGCTAAGATGTCCTTTAATCTGTTCCACGTGCGGAATATGGGTAGGTAAGGAATTGAGTCAGAGGTTAGTATGGAAAAGCTGGATAATTTCCAATTTCTTTAAAGTCAGACTTTTGTAGAGTATTTTAATATTTTGTTTGAAATGGTGCTAATTATAAGGCCGTCACATATTCATGTTCAAATGTAAGTAGACAACTTGTTAAATCCAAGTGAAAATTTTTCTGTTATCCTTACATCTACTGTCTTGAATTAGAATACATAATCAAGAATGGGCTATAGCAATATAATGAAAAAAGCCATATTCGGGTAACTATCTAAATAGGCCTTTAGAAAGAAAAAGTAATTTTTCTAGTTTTGTCATGTGTAAAGGAACTTTATTTAAAAGTTTTTCTTCTCAGATTTATATTTTCTGGACATTATAAAGAAAAGAACTTTCTCTTTTCTTTTTGCATCTTATGTATGAATTTCTTCTTTGGGCATATCCCAAATAGACAATAAAAGTTGCATTTCCTCGTTATTATTTTTTAAAATAGCCATAACATCAGTGTCTTTTAAGAATAAATTGTAAGGAATGTTTTACTATAATGTTATTTAACTTTATTTTAATTTTCCTTTGAGGATAGATCAATTTCATAGGGTTGTTTTAAAATCTGTTTTAGATTTATTAATTCTACAATTAAATTAACCTTTTAAGATATGGTTAGCTAAGATCATGCAGATATAAATTTCCCAGTGGCTGAATAAGGAGTAGTTCAGTGGATCAGCTTTGTGCCTGATTTGACAAGTCACCTAGTAGAACAAATGCTGTATTTGGACACAGCACTTTTGTAATTGGCGTATTTAAAGATATTTTATTGCTCATTCTGTGATGTTAGAATATAAATCTTAGGCCTGTTTTCTTTATTTTCTGTATGATAGATATTGTTCAGATACAACTTTCCTTTCCTTTCCAGATCACACAGCTTTATTATGGAGCATAGAAACTGGGAAGTGCCTTGTCAAGTATGCAGGACATGTTGGGTCAGGTAAGTCTATGTAGGTATGGAATTATTTTCTGTCAGAATTTATTTGGATTTAATTTATAACACCATCCATTCTTGTGACCGAATTAAAATATTTTTGGTTGCCACTGGTAATCTGTTGTCATCTCTTTATCTATACAGAAAAATTAAGTACTAAGGAAGAGTAATGCTTTCCTAGTTATATATTGCTCCATTAGTACTAGTGTCCAACTTGTTTCTTTTGGAGACTTTGAAGGCCTTTCTGCAGCTTGAGCTCTCTGGCAGCTGATCACATTTGTCCTTTGAACTCACATTATTTCGACATCAGGCTATCGAAGATGAAATATGTTCTAAAGACTTTGTAGTTCCTCAGATCTCTTATCACTTAAATTTAAAACATTGTTAACTCAGTAGTCTTTGTCATACTTTATAACTGTAAAATTTTTTATTAAGCTATGGAATTTTCAGTAGTTCTTCTTGCAGTTATCAATACTGTATTAAAGTATTAGTAGTAGTGCTTCTTATGGCATTAGCCATCAGTAGCTTGAGGATTTTTTCAACTCCATAACAGTTCTAATGTTATAATTTCCATTAAAAATAAGTTGTTTATACTACAATTCTAAGACTAGCTTGATTTTCTTTCGTCTCTACATTATATGAACTATAAGAGGTAGAAGTTAGGGTAACTAGTCTTCTCTCCTAGCTGCTAGGGTAATTTAGGGAAAGGTTATAAATATTTTTACTGCTGTGTCATTACTGGAAGCTTTTTTGGTTCTTATTTTTATGTCTCATAACTGTGTATTTTTGAAAAGAAACAAAAAGAAACAAAAGTTAACAAAAATTATGTGTGTAGGTTGTATTTTAGGCTATTAGCATTCTGAATAAATGAATAAAATAGTCAAAATTTATTTACTGCTTGATATCTTTTTTTTCAAACTGACGACTAATGGATGCTTTTTGTGTTGTACATGTTTTTATAAACTAATAAATATTGTGTGTTATGTTCTTATCATGACAATTGGTTTTGTTTTGTTTTTGCAGTAAATTCCATAAAATTTCATCCTTCTGAGCAGGTAGCTCTTACTGGTATGTGAAATTTTTATTTATTACACAAAAGTATTAGTAATTATGCTTACTCTTTGCATCCTCAATGCCTACCACTGTGTTTGGCACATAAGAGGAATTTAGTAAATGCTTGTTGATTGATTGACTGATTGTTGATACTACTAATAAATATTCATTGAGTATTAACAGTGTTATCAGCATTATGTAGGTATTTTATGAACATTAAACTGCTCCGTGTAATAAAGTTGAGAGGTAAATGTGTATTTGGAAAGAAATTTTTTATCTTATCATGATTGGTTAGTAATAGCCAGTTATTAGGTTTGTGACTGTGAGCATGTCATCTCTCATGGCCTTAGTTTCTTTATATGCAAAGTCCTTGCCTAACTTATATGGTAAAAATCAAATGAGGTAATAAGTGTGAAAATGTTACAATTTTTGGTGCTTTTACTAGTTAGATTAAATGAAACATTTACACAAGAAAATTATTTCAGTATATAACAAGTCTTTTATTTGACTGCATTTTGGGGGGAATAAAACCAACATATATTCCTTGTTTAAGCATATCAAAGGTAAGAATGCAGCTTCTTGTTTTTGAGGTACGAATTAACTAAATGTGATTATATGGAGTACACATGTTGGGAATTACGTAGAATTTGGTGCAGCTCTTTATTGTCCTTTTGGCTCTTACCATCGTTGCTGTCTCCTCTTATGCCGTATATGAATAAAATAGGTAGGGAAGATAGACTTGACATTTTACGAAAACTAATTTTCTGATACATTGCATGAAGGTGTCAAGTTATGTAGTTTTGTTCATCTTACACATGAAAAAAGGTAAAAAAGTTGATAATGATACAGATCAGTGATGTCATTAAATTGAGTACCCCTTTCATTTAATTCGTTTCTCAGTCCTTCCATGCCTTCTTAACCTGTGCAGTTTTGTCCATTTCTTTTCCTAAATCTTCCATAGAGGAGCTACTCCTCTGTGTTTGGGTCCATTGATGTATTCTTTTGAGAGATACCTCCCACCACCTAATGTCATCTCTCCTTATCTACCTTGTATTTATTCTCTGTTTATTCTGAATATATTTCCCCTATTAGAATATAAGCCCCTTGAAAAGTAGAGCTTAGTTCATTCTTTGTTTTTGCACCCCCAGCACCTACTCCAGTGCTGGCACATAGTAAATGCTTATTGAATGATTGATTGTTTCAGTCTGGTCATTCGCACTACCTGATCAGCCCACGTACATTTTTTACTGTCATTTCCGTGTATCCTTCAGAATTGCTGTTTATGTGATTTTTCACACACAAGTGAGAATTCTTAATATGCTTTAGCCATGCACTAGTCAAGCCACTTTTTTTCATCGCCTTTTAAATCAACTTTAATTTTGATTGTTTTGAGATGATAGTATTTCAATATAATACTCCTGTGTGCTATAGGAAGAAGTAGCAGTAGCAAAGTCTGGAATAGCACCTAGAATAGATGAATACACATAAAAGAAATAAGTGCTAATGGAAACTTAACTTTAAAAGCACTCAGGAATAGATTTTTAACATCGCTTAGAGTGAGAGATTCAAAAGAATTCAAAAAGATCACAGCAGTTTTTTTAAACCAAAAAATGGCAATTAGTGAGACATCAGCATTTATTAATCCATATGCCAGATTTCTAAGATCTCTCAAATCTTCATGAGAGTGGACTTTGCAGGCTTTGAGGGTATGCACATTTTCCTTTCAACTGCTTCTCAGTGTTTGTGAAGGTGTGGTATTCATTTATTTTCATTCATTTTTTTAATGAACTTCTGTTCTAAGTCTTGATTGATTTTAATCTCTTTCCAGTTAGCATAAAGATTTTTTTTGTTGGCTTGGAGAGATTTCCTGGGTTCTTTTTGTCCCCTTTTAGTGACTATTATGATGAATTAGTTAAACTTTTCTAGGAAATGATGGTAAAGTTTAATGTCTTTTATAGTATGTTTCCAGTTTTCTTTTTAAATTTGAAAGATGGAATTGATGCCTTTATTTAAATTTGGTTCAAGCTACTATAATAATGCCTTTTTCTTATCATGATCCTTTTTTTTTAAATGTTATTGATTTTGACCTTTTCTCTTAACTAGTCAGTAATCTGACTGTACGTGGACAGCTCATGCTGAAATGACTGCTAGCAATAATTATTTTTCTTCTCTGTTAGGATGTAGTTGATTTCATCTCTGATGATTTTGTTCAGTAGTCACTATATGTAGAACCCTTTTGAAGAAATTATTCATGATATAAAATCTGAGACTTCTTAAGTCATCCATAAGCTTTTGGCTACTTTTATTTCTTGATCCATAACGATATGAGTCATATTTTTTACCATCCTCTTCTCATTTCAGATCTATTTATACAGACCTATGTTTTCTCCTGACCTCCAATCTCATAGCTCCAGTTATCTATTGGACTTCTGAAACTGACTGTTCTGTAGATACCTTAAACTCAACATGTCGAAAACTAAACTCATCTTTTCCACCCAAAACTCCTTCTTTCTAATTTTTCCTATTATTTTCAAGGGCACTACCATTCTCCTAGTAACCCAGGCTCAAAACCTAGGTGTAATGCTTTGATTCCACATACTTTTTCACCTTTTGTATCCAAACTGCTGCCAAGTCCTGCTTTCTACCTTTTTATTTTCTCATATATACCCCCTTTCTCTCTGACATTGTAACAGCCCTGATGCAGTCCCTCATGAGTTCATGAGTGGACTGTTGCAGTATGACATGTCATATAATTGTCATGGTCATAGCACATGACAGTGACTATTGTAATAGTTTGCTGGTCGATCTCCTTGCTGTAGAACTCTCTCTATTATTCACTCAAAGCGATCGTTCTAAAGTATGGTTTGACCATGTCATATACTTCTTATTCAGTCAACTCCAGTGGCTCCCTATTATCCCAAGAGTCAAATATAAAATCCTCTTTTTGTCTTTTAAAACCCTTCACAATTTGAGCCATTCCTACTTTTCCAGCCCTCTCACTTTACTCCCCTGTATATACTCTATGATCCAGTGACACTTGTCTCTGGTGTTCCTCACATAAGATTATCCTGACTGCATTTTTACTGAATTCTCTGTCATACCTGGAATTCTCTTCTATTTCTTGTCTGCTTCCTGGATTCTTTTAAGCCTCAGTTAAAATTCTTTAGAATGTCTTTCTTGGCTTCCCTTAATGTTTAGTCCTTCCTTTGGAGATGATTTCCGGTTTGTAATGTATATATGTTGTTTATACATAATTGCTTATATGTTGTCTACTGCATTCAGTTATAATGTCTTGAAGTCAGAGTTATTCCTTGTCATTTAGCATAATGCCTGGCACCTAGTAGGTGCTTAATAAATGCTTCTTATTTTGATTTATGCCCATTTTCACTTTGAAGTCATTGAGGATTAGGATCTATCTATCTGTATAATTTTTAGGTATATTTATGTATGTATACATACATATATTTGTATATAATTTTATAAGCATACATATAAATCAACACTTCATTTATCCTCTGCTCATCTATTTGCTTACTGTAATTGTGGGTACTATATGAAGTTTCTTGTCACCTCTAATTCCAGATTCAGTGTTCTTTTCAACTGTACTGTCAGGCCTTCTAAGCAGGTTAATATTCCTTTTGGGCCTTTTGTTCAGTAATTCATGTATCATGGTGACATGGGCCAGGAGGTAATTATTGAATTTTAAAATGAAAAGTGTCTGTGAATATGGATCATTTTCTCCAGTAGTATGATTATTCAGTCATTGACAGAGATCCTTAGCATCATTCTCTTCATCTTCATCTTTTTTTCCAACTCCCACAAAAATCAAACCTATCATCCATGACCTGAGGCTCGGATGTGATGGAGGGTCTCATACCAGGGTCATGTACAGTGTGCCTTTAGATTGTTACAATAGCTATGGAGTCCTTGAAGAAGCCCTGAAATGATGCTAAATCAGACTGTGGTAATATTACTGAATGGGTTAATACTATAATCAATGTGATATTACTGTTCCCAAAAGTGAAGAAAGAGATAGGTAGCGTAAGGTTGCAGGTTTGCCTGTTGTGATGATCAGCTTGATAGGGAAGATAGAGAATTGATTGGCTCTGCTTTGTGTTCTGATACCATAAGAAGGCAAAACACACTGCACAAATGAGAATTACCAATATTCCACCTACTGGACATACTTCAGTGCACTGACCACTAAATCAGGCAAGCCGTGAGAATAGATGAAATGGACTTAAGACATGACTACTTTTGTTGTGCAATAGTAAACTAGTAAACTTTAATTGTGCAAAATTATAAACTCATCTCATTAGCTATTGACAAGGGCTTTATACTGTTCTTTGTAATGGCTTCAATGCTAAATCACACAACAATGTACTGTTAACCATTACAGGGCCATCAAAAACAAAAATAAGAAACTATATCCCTAAGCCAAGATTAGATGAAATTGGAGATGAAATGGAAGAACTGTTTAAATCTCGAGAGGGAAAACTTAAAGAACCCCAGGTCATTGAAAATATCTTCATACATTACAAATTTTAGAAATCATTTCTAGTAATGAAACAGAATTGAAAAACAGCACCAAAGTCCCAAATGATTTTGAAAAAAGATTAGAATTCTTAGACCCAATTCCAAAAAAACTTTTAAAAAAATTTAATGACATGAAATTTGAATCCTGCTTCAGGTACTTACTTTGTGGCCCTGGGAAAATCACTTAACCTCTGCCTGTTTCAGTTTCTTGATCTGTAAATGGTGATAAAATGTTAGCACCTTTTCCCCTGGGTTATGAGGATCAAATGAGATAATGTTTGTAAAGCACCTTGAAAACCTTAAATCACTATGTAAATGCTTATTATCATCATTATTATTGACTGTTATTCATATATTATACATACAAATACATTATACATACATGGATATACAAAGTTTGCTATAATGAGATTCTATTCCAGATTAAATTAATAGTAAAAAATATTATATGTGGACCTTGAACATTAGTAAGTTTATTTTACCTCCAATAAAAGGGAGAATGTTTTCATGATAATTAGTCTTACTCTTCCCTTTTTATAGTGGATGATTCTTCCTAGCAACATCATAAAGTTCCGGAAACAATTATTTTCTGTTGTCTTACCAAATGACATTAATAGTGTTTGTCATAAAAATATTGCTCATGTTGCTTAGCCAAAATAGAAGAAAACATTTTTTGTGTTATATGTATTTTGAGAAATATGTTTTCCTGATTTATTTGTCATAGCATCTGGCGACCAAACAGCTCATATCTGGAGATACATGGTACAGCTACCAACACCTCAGCCTGCTACAGATACTAGTGTAAGTGCCTTTACTTAAATGAAAAATTCAGTTATGTTGTAAACTCTATTTATATGTATCGGTTACTTATGTCTTCTTACAGCATAAGGTTAGACTTTTGCCATTAAGCCTGTTGCATTTTTTATACAAATACTTTAGTCATATATTGTCATGTGTTACCTGATATATACCTGTTATATGCTTGTTTGCCATTACTTCATAAGTTTCCCAGCAGAGAAAGCTAAATGATTTGTTAAAGTGAACATCCAAGTTAATTATTTAAAGATACACATTTTGACCATGACTGCCAAATTTTAGGGATTTTGAAGTGTCATCCAAGAAAATTATGTTTACTTTTTTTGGTTTTGAATTGATTTTGATTTAGATTAGAAAACTAGCAGATTCTGGAGGACCTTATTCTGTCTTAAAATGAATAAATTCTCATAGAAATTTAATTCTGAAAAGCTGTAGTAATATTTTACATTCAGAAGTAGGACATTTTCTTTATAGTAGAAAATATAGCATAATTAAAATTAATTTAATCTTATTCTTTTATGGATAAATTTTTCCATACAAGCAGCAGGTAAATTATGTAGAAATTAAATGAGCTTGCATTTAATTTAATCTTTCAAGGTACAACTCACTATAACGTAAATATAAGCTATGCTTGAATCAGGAAACTTATTGTGTATTACATGGTGAAAATTCATAATTTTTTAAAATTTTGATATTCATTTCATTTTTCTCTTCATTGTGGTTGTGTTGAATATGGCAATTAATTTATGTTTGGGTCTGTCTGACTCTAAATTCAGAATTTTGGTCTAATGCAGGAGAAGTAAGGTTTGAATTGTTACATTGTGTTATCATTGCAATATTATTTTATGACTTAAAGAGTCAATTCAGAGATTTAATTGATGTGGATACTGCCTCCAATGGTACACCTTTTAACTGGCCACCCTAGTATATTGTCTTTATAAGTTGCTGTGAATGAAATAATTTATTACTTGGTGACCATCCTTCTTGTGATGAGCCTCTCCAAACTTAACTAAACTGCTTTTCAGTTTATTGCCAGGCCTGTAGTCATGGACTTTGAAGCTGGGTAGGAGCTACCAAAGCTTATGCTTTACTGATGTACCTTTCTGCCATGATGAAGCATCAGAGTATAGAATTTTAGTGGGGAGGTTATTATACAGTATAATAATTTTTTAAGACTTAGACTTTAGTAATATTTACAGTGTTTACAGTAATCTGACCTGCTTAAAGTGTTGTCAAGTAGAATTTATGCTGAATCATTTTTAATGATCAAAGATCTCATTTGAATTAGCACTTTTTATATGCAAATGTAATTATATTCATGAAGTATTTGGTATCTTAAACATTTTTTATTCTGTGCATCATAGATGTTAGAGCTGAAAGGGTCAAAGATTGAGGAGTTATAGAATTTTTGCCAATGTTATGCATAAAGTAAAATTCAATTGATACGTACAATCTACAAAATTTTCACTAAACTGGTCACACATTACCGATACTTTATGGATAAAATATATGATAAAATACAGTGACCAAAACCAGTAGAATCATATAATATATAGCATATAATATTGATAAGAACCTTAGGAGAATATATAGTACAACTCCCTTGTTTTATAGATGAGGCAACTGAGGCCTAAGGCATAAAGTAACTTGTCTAAGGTCATAAAGGTAGTAAGTGACAAAGCTGGAGTTAGGTTTCAGGTTATGTGATTCTAAATCCTATACTCTTTCCACTAAACTACCACCTGCAGCTACTTAGAATACACTTTAATTATGAAAAGGATATGTATGTATGTATGCATGTATTTGTATGTAGAGATCTATGAAAACTTTATATTTTATGTATATAAAAGAAAACTATAACATAAATAGTATATGTGGCATATGGGAAAACTTTATATGTGTACACACACACACACACACACACACACACACCACACAACACACGAAGACTTAACTCAGCCCATATAGAATTGTTATGTGTTTTGAGTACTACTTAATGAGAGTTTTTCATCATTTAGTTTGAATCGGCAAAAATTAAGTAGTTTTCTCGTCTGCAAAATCAGGATTATAATGGCAGCTTCCTACAAGGTTGTTGTTAGGATCAAATGAAATTTTACATATATAAAAGATATTTTTAAAACCTCAAAGTTCTATATCAGCATTGTTAATTATTAGCAAAAAAAGCTATAGCTTGCACAGCAGTCACACCCAAGCAAACCATCTTTGTCTAGGCAGATGGGCTAAAGTGAGTTGAGGTTAAGTGACAGGCTTCAGACTTGTCATTGAGTTAGGGGGATGTTTACCCCAAGCATGTGAAGACTTCCCCCAGTGGGATGGGTGGATGGATGAGAACAGTTTAGTGGCCCTGAAGGCAGCTGAAGCTGGCACTGTAGAGCACTTAGAGCTTGGTCATATAGCGAAGATGCGAAGGTTGTTCACTGCCTCCACTTCAAGGTCATCCTGACTTTTATCCAGCCACTGGACTTCAATGACTCTGGAAGAGAGAGTGGGGCTGACAACTCTGCAACTTGGCCTTACTTAAATCCAATTCACACGCAAGTCAAGACATGACCCGTGATGTCAGTGGTACTCTTCGAAAATGAGGGACGGGGACAGGTAGGTGGGAAAGTGGATAGAGCACCAGCCCTGAAATCAGGAGAACCTGAGTTCAGACACTTGACACTTGCTAGCTGTGTAACCCTGGGCAAGTCACTGAACCCCAATTGCCTAAAAAAAAAGAAAATGAGGGACAAACAACAACATTTAATAATCACAGAGTTGGTTTAGTATTAGCATAGTATCTGGACTAGGAGTCTTGAAAGTTAAGATTCTGTGATCTTGGTTCTGTGATTCATAGCTTTGTGACTGAGGAAATTGAGGCCCTGAGAGTTTAAATAACTTCTTGACCTAGATTTGAATTCCAGCTCTGCCATTTACTACCTGTGTAATCTTCATCAAGTTACTTCATTTCTCTTGGCTTACTTGCCTTATCTATAAAGTTAGGGCTTTGAATTAAATTACAGCTTTAAAAACTGTATAATTTTATGATTCTACTTTCATTTAAATAGGTAACTTTAAAGGTTTTGAAGACAGTTTTCCTCTGTATCATGTCATGGTTTATATTGGTTGAAACCTTTTTTTGGAAAGCTCAGTGTTTAGTTGGAAAAATATCCCTTGTAAGTAAATTTATTGACTAACTTTTCAAAAGAAAACTACAAAATAGTTGTTAATGAGGCTTTTAAAATAGAAACTTTAGTAATTTTTAGAATAAAATTTATTATCCTAGCCAACATTTCAGTTATGACACTTTTCATTTTGGCCTTTTTTTTTTTAAAGACAGAGTAGTAAAGGATCAACATTTCTAGTGGGAGATTGAGTAGGTAGAAAATACTAAACTAAGAGTAGCTTAAAACTTGTTTTAGAAACAATTTGTTTATAAATTAGAAATTTAATATTGACATTGTATGGTAGATTATTCATTTTCTGTTAATTTGTTGTTTTATATTGTACCATCACAAGGGAATTCTGTGTTTAAATCAATGTTTACAATTTATTAAAAATAAAGAATTGTTTTGCTTACCGTTTATCATACCATTGGTTAACACTGGTGAAATCTTAGCACCTTTATGTGGCAGTGACTTTATTTGTTTTTCTGGATTAGTTGATACTTCTGAGAGGCAAGTGGATAAATAAAATGTTAATTGGTTTCCTAGGAAGAAGAGTCTAATTATGGAGTCTTGCAATAAAGAAGGTTAAAGGTAGTTATAAACTATATTTTATATGAGAAGAAGTTTTACTTTTTTGCCTCTCGTTTTTAGCAACAAATGTCTGGAGAAGATGAAGTGGAATTTTCAGATAAAGATGATGCAGATGGTGATGGAGAAGGTTCCAGTGATTGCCCTAACATCAGGGTTCCCCTAACATCACTTAAAAGCCATCAAGGAGTGGTAATAGCAGCTGATTGGTTGGTTGGAGGGAAGCAAGCAGTAACAGCCTCCTGGGATAGAACAGCAAACCTATATGATGTTGAGACATCTGAGCTTGTTCATTCTTTAACAGGTACCTTTTAAGTATTTTTTTGTTATGTCCTTGGGAAAAAGGACGCATATCTTTCAGATGAGTTTTTTCAATGGAATTAATGTTATATCTTGTATGTTTCAGTCATTTCAAAGATATTTTTTATAAAAGTTTCTTCTGAAGCTTGCATAATAATCATTTGTGTGTTCTAGTTATGCAGTTTTCTGACCCTATGCAATGTAGAGAGCTATGAAAATATGGATCAAAGAATTGAAATGCTTAAATTTTGAAGAATTGTGAAGAGAAAGTATTTCCTAATCTAATCATAACTGTTGTATCGAGAACTTCACAACATTTGAGTGTTTTTAGTTCAGTTCTTCAGTTCTAAAACAGATGTAATCAGTCTATATTCCCTTGCATTTTTTTTTATTGTGTTCAGAATAACCTTGGGGGTGGGACTCTATGTGAATGTGTTCAGAATGACCTTGGGGGTGGGGCTTTGAAAAATGAAGCTTTCACATAGTTGGACTGTTGTACTGACTCAGCATGTATAAATTGAACCTAAAAGTAAGCATTTTTATCACATTAAATACTTCACAAATTTCCATTTCCTGGTTTCTGGTTGAATGCATGTCTGAGAAGACTAACATATTTGAGGTTTTTTTGAAACTCTAGTCCTAGGCATCCTATGCCTTCTTGATTCTATTAGAAAAATACTCATTAAAGTGTTCTTCTTCCCCTCCCTCTCTCCCTCCCTCCCCTTGCCAGGAGTCACACAGCTAGTGAGTGTTGTGTGTCTGAGGCTGGATTTGAACTCAGGTCTTCTGACTCCAAGGCCAGTGCTCTATCCACTGCACCACCTAGCTGCCCAGTACTCATTAAAGTGACTTGTTCATTTTTAGTTTCCACCTAAAGTGATTACTCTACATAGGAGGACACTTTATAAAATCTCCATGTTGGTTTTCTTTTTTTTTCTCCCAGAAGTGAAGTTTTTTCTTTTTTTGATCAGTGCTTTATTATAGATGTATTCATGAAAATAAGAACTCTTACCTTTTTGGTATTCTAAATATTCTCATCTTTGGTTATAGGGCATGATCAAGAGTTAACACATTGTTGTACACATCCCACCCAGCGTCTTGTAGTGACATCGTCTCGTGATACAACCTTTCGCCTTTGGGATTTCAGAGATCCTTCAATCCATTCTGTGAATGTCTTTCAAGGTCATACAGAGTAAGTAGTAGGTGCTTTCAGAATTCTGATTATATTGGATGAGGTGTGTGAGTGCATGTTGCATTTTAATTTTCAATTAATTTTCTATATTTAGAGCCTAATATACTATCTACTTTTACTAATTTTGTAAAATGTTCATCTCTTGAGCATTCATCTTGCATTTTGCATATTTGAAATCATGAAGGAATTATGAACAAGTATTTTGATGCTCTGTTTTTTTTTTAAATAAATACTTGAACTAAAATATTCCCATACTCATCAGTAATCATCTTGTCATTTAAAAAATCATTGGCAAATATTCTTTAGTTTTACTTCTCCATATTTGCAGTCACTCTCATCTTAAATGAAATGCAAAATTTATTTTTGAAATTTTAAGAGTTTTCTTTTTTTGTTTCCTCATTTTTCACTTTTGTAAACATTAACTTTTTTCAGATTTTAAATGGATAAGAAATCAAGGGTTCATGTAATTCATTAACACTTAACATAATTTTCCAACATAGCTATAGTTTATATATTATTAAGTTGAGTGTGTTATTTCTGCAAAGCTTAAAAGTATATAAGTAAAATACTTTTTAAAGACTTTTATTCTTTATTTTTCAATTAACAGGCATTTATTTTATTCCCTTACGATCACTCTACCCCAGCACACCACCTGCCCATCTTCCCTCCCCCCCTCATTTAAAAAAGAAACAAGTCCCTTGAGACAGAAATGCATAATTAGGCAAAATAAATTCCCACATTGCCTGTGTATAATATATGTATTTTATCCTGCATCTTGAGCCCATCACTTCTCTGTCAGGAGGTGTATGGTGTGCTTCTTCATTGATTAGGTAAAGTACTTTGAGGTTTTTAGAACCAAGAATGGTTCCAAACGGTCCCATTGTATTCCAGACCATGCTCATGATAGCTGTGAAATCCTGACTCCTCATTTTTTATTTCTGTTAATTGTTCTAACTGACCCCATCACTACACTCTTTTTTGGATCATCAGCAATCATTCCACACATTAAAAAAGCCATCCTGTCTGTTGACAGAAAGAAATCAGAGCGTAGTAGAGGATAACTTTTGAAATTTATCGCTGGACTATTCTCATATTGCCACTTGTGCTTGACAAATCATTATACAACTTAGCTATTTGTATGTTACCTTTCTTCTCAGTGTAGTGGGTTAAGTACCCAAAGAGTGCTGCAGAAAGGCCAAAAATATGGTAACTGTATAAAGAACCATAGAGCTGGAAAGGACATTTATTAGAGAAATTATCATTTCAAACACTTCATTTTACTTCTTTACTAAAATTTTTTTATTATGGACTTAATAATCATCTATAACCACAAACGTTTAAGTTTTGTATACTTAATAAAGTAAAATAATAGGAAAGCATGAACCTCAATTACATAGTTTTTATTTATTAAATTTAATGTGGTAACAACAAAATTGCCTTATTTGTATCCCATCTGAGTTTTTTGTTATTTGTATTTTAAAGTTCTTCCTTTCCCTTTCCCGCCTACCTCCCTTCCTTCTCTCTCACTATTGACTAACTTACCCAGCCACTGTTGTAACAAATATGAACAGTTAATCAAAACATCAACACATTTTCCATGTCTGAAAGTACATGTGTCATTTTGAACGTTTGGTCCATCATCTCTCTTCTAAGATGTAGATACCATGTTTTATCACCTGTCCTCTGATGTCATGGATTGGTCAGTGTATTGATCAGAGTCTGTTATCTTTCAATGTGGTTTTCTCCTCCATTATTCTCATCATTGTAGTTCTTAGATCTTCCTATTTTAATTTGCATCAGTTTATTCAGATCTATCAGTTTATTCAGATCTTCCCTAATTTCCCTGAATCTATCATATTCACAATTTTTTATGGCACAATACACACAACACAGTTTGTTCAATCATTTCGCAGTTAATTGATACCCATTTTGTTTCCATGTCTTAGCTATAATTGAAAGTGTTGTTATAAATATTTTTGTACACATGGGTACTTTAGCCTTCTATCTTTGACTTCTTTGAGGTACACTGTGTGCCTAGTAATGCATCTTTGGGACAAAGAATATTGAAGTTTAGTGACTTTTTGGTAATTGCTTTCCAGAATTGTTAAATTCACTGCTTCACCAATGGTCCATTAATGAACTTCACTTCCCCTAGTCCTTCCAAACAATTTTTTTTTCACATCTTGTCATCTTTGCCAATCCAATAAGTATGATGTAGAATCTAAGATTTGTTTTATTCACCAGTTCATTCATCTTACAAATGAGAAAACTGACACCTGGATAAGTAAATTTCCTAATGTTACAAGGATAGTTAATGACATAGAAGGGACTAGAATCCAGGTCTCCAAATTAATAATGCTGAGATTTTTTCCATGATAAAGTGGGAGTGATGTGTCTATTCTATGGTTAAATTGTAAACCCAGTCAAATATGTACATGCCAACTTTGCTCCCAAAATCTTCTAAAAAAGAAAATGAATTTAGCATTTTATTTTAAACTAATCTGAATAGCTTTTGTCTTATGCTCCCCTTCCTGGCAGAACTCCTTGAAAAATCCATCTTTATCTGGTGTACCTACATTTCCTATCCTTGAACTCTCTTTTAAACTTTTTATAATCAGGCTTCTGACCTAATCATTCTACTAAAGCTGCTTTTTCCAGTTACCGGCATTGTCTTAACTGCCACATCTAATGGTCTTTTCTTAGTCGTCATCTTTCCTGGCTTCTCTGTACCATTTGAGACAGTTCATCACTTTCTTCACTGTTTTCATTGTATGGCTTTCGCATTCTTCTGTACCTTCCCGATCACTCCTCAGTCTCCTTTGAAGGATCTTCATATTATAAAGTGCTGTGCAAACTTTAAAACACTATGTAAATTTTTTCTGGCTATGTCTGCTAACTATGAGTGTACCTCAAAGTTCTGTTCTATGCCTTTTTCATTTTTCTCACTGTAACATCTCATTTGTGGATGTTATCAACTTCTGTGGGTTCTTTAATCTCCATGCAGTTATTTCATGATATGTATGTTCACCACTAGTCTTTTTTTCTTCTGAGCTCCAGTCCCACATCACCAACTCCCTGTTGAACATTTCACACTTAATGTTGAGTGGACATCTCAAAATTAACATGTCCAAAACGCAACTTTTCTTCTCCCTTCTCTTAGCCTTCTTTTGAAATTATGTGTTACTGTCGAGGTCTCTACCATCCTCTTTGTCACTCAGAGTTTGCAACTTGGTGTCATCCTTGACTCCTCACACTTATGCTAGACAGATTGACATTTGTTAGATATTTTTCCTATGTGTCTCCAGTGCTCTTGTCGCGAAGCCACACCCTGGGGCTGGTCTTCGTCACTTCTGTCCTGGACTACTGCAGTAGGTTTCTGTTTAGTTTCTGTGCTTCAGGTAACCCCACTCCAATCCATTTTGCACGCTGCTGCCAAAGTGATTTTCTTGAAGCGTAGGTCTTCCCGTGTCATTTCCCTGTTTGATAAACTCTAGTAGTTTCTAGTTACCTTAAGTCCTTTAAAAAAAACCTTTTTGTCATTTAAAGCTCTTTACAACCTGACTACTTCCTCTTACTATTGCTGTCTTCTTACGTTTCATTACTCTTCATGTACTCTATGATCAAGTAAGCTACACTGCCCTTTTTTTTCCTTCGCATGTGACACTTCACCATTCATTGCCTTGTCTTTGTATTGGCTGTGCCCCCACTTCATCTAGAATGCGCTTTCCCCTCACTTCTGCCTCTTAAAATCCTTGGCTCCCTTTAAGAATCAGCTCAGATGCTGTCTTGTGCAAGGGAACTTTGCTGGTTCCGCCCCCTCCCCCCAACATCTTGTACTTTCTCTCTAAGATTATCTTCTCTCTTGTATGGTTCTTGTATGTTTCTTACATAATACTTTTTATTTACAGGTTGGCTTACATAGAATGTAAGCTCCTTGAGGGTGAAGACTATTTTTACCTTTTTATTGTATCTCCAGTGCTTAATGCAATGTCTGATGCAGATTAAGTTCTTAATAATTGCTTATTATGGCTGATTAAATTGGGAAGAATAACAAATACTAGACTGAAATTGAATATTTGACAGTCTATGTGTACCTAGAAATGTATGTTTCTTTTAGGTATTGCTCTTTAATATATTCTTGCTTTGTATAATTCATACCTACCTTTTACAAAACAAAATTATCTTTATGCAAGGAGATTAGTTAGTGGCAAGTATGGCGTATGTCTATAGGCCCTGCTATCAGGGAAACTGAAGCTGTTGACCTTTTGAGCTTGAGAGTTCTAAGCTGTGAACAGAGCTAATCACTTATCAGCACCGAATTCAGTATTAATTCAGTAAACCGCTGGGATCAGGGCTCCACCAGGGTGCCTAAGGAGAGACAGTTAGACAAGGTTGAAAATTGAATAGCTCAAAGCTCCCTGGGTCCTGATCAGATTGGAATTGGGCCCTATAGTGGCCCCAGTACTTCCAGCAAGGGTGAGATAGGAATGACAGAGAGATGGACTAAATAATGATTTTTTTTCCCATGCTTCAAAAACATCTTTATGAGAAAGGTCCACGTGTTTCATGTGTATCTTTGATGAAAATTTTAAGTGGGAAAACCTTTTTTTTAATTGTTATCTTTTTTTAATATCACCTTTCCTTTCTACATATGTTGCTCCTTTCTTTCCTACCTAGCAAGTTATCCTGTGTGCAGTGAAAATTAAAGAAAAAGAAGAAAGTTTAGTGATACCAACCAATACTTCAGTTTGACAATGATCCCTAGTTCTGTCAGCAAAGGAGAGAGATATATCTTCTCATAACTTCTTCAGGGCTAAGCTTGCTCATTATAATGGCTTAGCTTTTAGTTTAATTAAAATTTTTTTTTCTCTTTACATTGTTCTCATCATGTATATTCTTTTCCTGCTTCTGCTTATTTAACTCTGTATTAATTCATCTTAATCCTTCCTGCATTTTTCACATGCATTGTTTTTGCTTGTTTGATTTACATGGGGGATTGG